TGTATACAAATGTTTTCTTCTCCTTTATGTGAAAACATAGGAATTCACCAAAAATTATACGGATTTTAATTATATGTTTAATAGTTATTGTTATGATTTATGATTGCATTCAAATTATATTGAATATATTAAATGTATAAAATATATAAAATATTCGTTGCTTTTATCAGCGTTTAATCAAAGATATTACAATAAGACTTGTTTATACTTTTACAGCCATACTTTAAATATTTTGAATATATGAATCAATATATTATAAATCCATTTAAAATACTAAATATTGGTAATTTAATGTTTGCTAACATTATTTAATACAAAATACATAATAATCTTAAATTAAAGTACTTTCAGACAGAGTTTAATGGGTCTCTCGGAAAAGTGTTTTGACATAAGTTTTAATGATTTTTTTGCACAACATTTATTTATAAAAATATAATTACAATTAGTGTTGAAAATATAAATTTACTAATTTACAAGTGTTTTTGAAAATATACACCAATTCTACATGTAATCTAATTGACTTATTTTTATTAGGTAACTTATATATTGTAATTAAATTCCAGACACTAAAGATGCTAGCATTGCTAACCATACAAATATCAATTATTTTATTATATTGATAAAATACACAAATAAATTTAGAAATCAACTAAAAAATTTATCAATAAGTTATTAATAAATCTTGTTTTTTTTGGTACAGATGATAAATAAAAATTAAAAATGATTTTTATATTCATTCAAATATTGTTAATAAGTGTAACCAATTATTTGTGCGAAGAGAAGAGCAATGAAACCGAAAGCACGATCTATGGTGACAGACGGCCGCAACTCACTATCGGTAACATTGATGGTATAGTTTCCGATGTGATCGATACGATTCCCAATGATATTATTACTGTATGACTGCATTTTGACATCATTAACAATTGCAACATTTAGTCATAACAGCAAAACATATTTCAGGTAAGATTTCCGACCGGAGCTGAGGCAACGATGGGTAATGTGTTGACCAGCAGTCAAGCAGCCAACCAGCCATCGGTTGAATGGGCCGCACATTCTAATGCCTTCTATACGCTGGCAATGGTTGACCCTGATCTGTTTGGTCGTAACGGCACAAACTATGGTCAATTAAAACACTGGCTGGTAGTTAACATCGCCGGCGCTGACCTTCAAAATGGTCGGCAATTAACCGAATTTATACCATGCCCTCCAGAGGCACCGGATTTCATAGGTATGTGTTTTTGGTGTACAAACAGCCGGATGTGATGCCAACCGACAACCGGACAGTAGTTGGCGGACAGTCTTATAGTCTAGAGGGCAGACTGTTTTGAAATGTGAGAACCTTTGCCACAAAATATCACCTAGGACAACCAATTGGCATTGATTACTACTTGGCACAGTTTGACATCTAGCTGGTTATATTGATTGATAAACTAGTTAAAATGCTAATTAATTTAAATTTTGTAGTACGGATATTACAAATGAATTGTAACTTTTGAATTATTCTTAGCCGTAGTCTACTGTTAAAACTTAACCATTGTATTTAATTTGATATGAAAATTATAAAAATGATTGTTTTTAAGTTCAATGCTTAAGTTTAATGTGATAAATGAGTTTTAAAATTAGACTCTACGGCTAGGAATGATTCAAAAGATTACAATTCATATTTATATTAGAAATAATCATAAAATATAAATAGAATATAAGTAATGTATAATATTATAGTATAAAAATAAAATAACTTTTAGTAATCACATTTGTAAACTACAATTGAGTATAAAAATTGTAGTTTATATCATAAGATCACTCTTCGCTTTATTATATATTATCCAAAAATATTTTCTGAATAATATCTGAAAATTTATAGATTTTTTCAAATCGTTTATTTTGGCAAAAGTTATCAAATACTGAATAAGCATTTCCTGTCGAGAATTGGCACTCAATTTCTGTCTTTCAAACCATTTCTATACTAATAATAGATAAATAAATAAAAACAATAATTTGAATCTCCAATGCATACAAAAT